AGAGAGAGAGAGAGAGAGAGAGAGAGAGAGAGAGAGAGAGAGAGAGAGAGAGAGAGAGATTCTTGGTTATTTGGCGAGAGTTGGCATCCTGCAGAAGACAATCACTCGGCTTAACATCCAGCATTCGGGTCCAGGTTGCACGCCGAACCTAACAATGAAATTTGCAAGTTCAAAAGGCTCCATCCTTTATTTCATCTGTAAAGATGAGAAGAGCGCAAGGGGGTAATCAATTGCATGGGAGTTTAGCCTGATGGGTATATGGGCTTGACTGACAGTAAATCCTTCCTAAGGGAAGCAATCAATGTCGTCAGGGTCCCCTTAGGAAGGATTTACTGTCAGTCAAGCCCTGACAAAAAATGTTACACACTGTCAGTGCCGTACTGTGGGGAAGCGTTGACAGTGTGAAATATTTTTTGGTTCAGGAACGCGTGACCCATCTTTCCATCAGGTGGTGCCCTTCTGACTACAAAAAAAAAATAAAAATCACACACGTAGGAGACTATCTTGGGGGTTCCATCCCCCATTGGGCAAATATATGTACGTCAACCAATATGTTTCCTGGTAGAGCGAACCACAAACCTGTCTAGAGCTCCTGTTACCTTCGGTTTTCCTTCCTGTCGGCGGCGGCTAGATCTGCTATGCTGGATCCCGCCTCCCTTGCAACTCGTCCCTTGCTTTGGCAATATGCTTGTCGATGATCTCGATTGCCCAGATTTTTGTTGCGCATCACCGGGCAATGCCACGCCGCGCTCGTCGCCGTTCTGCAGACGGAGAGCAAAATGGAAGTCTGAGTGCTCTAAGACCGCCGCAGGATCGTCAGAGATTTTCGCCCCGCATTGCTCACATTGGATAAGCCTCAGGCTGCCACTCGACTCGTGAAGTTCCGACTCTTTGTGGACGCCAAACTCCTTGCCATCGACCGTGTCATCCCTTTCTATCCAATGTTCATCAAGAGGGCGTGTCTCCGTCTCCTCACGCTCCTCTCCGACGTGTGGACCAGGTCCTCGATGATCCCTCGACACTCGACAAAACACCGTCCGTTTATGACCGTCTCCTTCTTCTGGGTCAACGCCCTGCACCGACTTGTCTAAACCACTTATCGTTCGGGATTCACTGCCCACACTCGCATTCATCCGGGAATCCCCCTCCTCGTCATGAAAGCAAGGAGACGGGGAACAGTAAGCTCTACCATTGCACAAAGCTGCTTCGTACGTTGCCGGGATGGAATCATGATGCATCGGCTTTGTTTTACCCAGGCCAGGGGCCTTTGACTTGCCCACTTCTTGGGGGTGCACTCTAGGGAGATGCACTGAAGCAGAATGAAGCCCTTCTTGGCTCCCTTCTTCACTGATGGGATCAAACAGGTTCGCACATCCTTCCCCCCCATAGCACTCATGAAGCTCGCCAAACGGTTGTCGATGTTCAAAAGCTTGTGCCTCCTCCTGTGTGTCCCTGATGCTCCGCACCTCACCGTCGACCGCCGGTGAAAAGGGCTCTTTACGTTGTTCGTTGTTGTCTTCGTGATGAGCACTGGCTTGATTTGGCTCATTAGCATCATGGTCATTGGTAGCATCAGAGAAAGCTGGAAGAAAATGGCTTTTCAGATCAATGTAATCGATCTCCTCAAAAGGGTTGCTTTTGCGTGTCCTTTCGCACTCAACCGGAGGTAAGCAGTTTGCTGCCGTACTGACTTTATCTTTTCGTTCCATGGCATTTTCTGCTTCCTCCTGAGCCTTTTTCAAAGCTGGTGCAAAATGGTCTGCTGACCCTTCGAGCGGCAGATGGGATGAATCAGGGAAGTCATAACCCTCGAGGGACGAAATAGACGTTTCATGGCATGACTCAGTTAGGCCGCTTGCATCTCCACTCCCGGACTGCCTGGAGAACAAGCACCGTATATCACCCTTTTTCGACGATTCCACCGGCTTCATGTTGGCCTTCCCTGGTGATGAAGGAAGAACAGCACCCCCAGGGTTCTTCACTACCCATCCCTTGGGACTTGCCTGCTTTTGCAGCGGCAACCGACTCTCACACCCCCCTGCATCCACGATAGCTGCACAACACGACACTTGCGACACTGCATGCTCCTGTGCGATTGGTGAAACAGTAGCAGGAATGCTGCCACCACCCCGGACCACCCAGCTGCTGATCGGTGTCTGCACAGCTCGTGCTCGTCGCTGCTGCTGCTGTCTCCATTGCGGCTGTTCGTCTCCTCGTAGTCGTTTAGACTTGTCTTGGACCGGTGCATATACTTCAAGAGTGTGAGGTTGATTTGAGAGAGGCCATTGCTGCCGCTGCTGCTTTCGCTGCCCAACAGGCACCGACGATTCCTTGGCCCATGTGCTAGCAAGATCTTGCCAGGTGTCGTCATTACCATCATCACAATCCTCCTCAACAGGTTCTGGAACATCATGTCAAACATTCCAACAAGTACGAACTTAGAAAACCGCCATTAGTTGCTCCCCAGAATGGCTATGGATCCAGGACCACAAGGACCTGTACAAAAAAACAAAAAAAACAAACAAACTAGGCTACCAGAGTGGCCCGGGGTCACTTGCCCGGCCGGGCCAAAATAATAATAATAATAATAATAATAATAATAATAATAATAAAATAATAAAATAATAATAATAATAATTTTAATTTTAATTTTAATTTTACTTTTTAATTTTCATTCTAAATTTGGCGAAGAATTTCGAATCTTTCGATGTGACCGTGAGGCAAAAGTTGCTCAGTTTATTTTTCTGCATAACATAGTTTTTTTTCGGATTTTTTCGGGGTTTTTTTTTTTTTTTTTGCTGGGACCTTCCCTGGTCCTTGCACGGGCTGGCCACTCAGAAAAAAAAAAA